TTATGTATTTCCATTCTCCCCACTCGTTCTCTTACTTTATAAGAGTGCTATCAACCTTTCTTGTAACAGCTTAAATGAATATTAATGTTTCAATTTATTGATCAATCATGTGCATTTGTACCTTATATAAATGTGTACTGATTGTGGTTAAAAAAATATGTTGCTCTGCTAGGACTCGGTGCTTGTGATTAACATATACTACATTAAAGACACTAGTTTGTAGTTGAATGCTGTCTCTCTCTTGTTGTATTATTGCTACTACACTCTTTACCAGTGTTCTGGAAAAAGCACTTATTGTCACGTTGTACACTTTTGTTAGTGTTTTAGAAAGCGCTAGTGGCTGTTCCACTCAGATAATATTGTTTAAGATGATCTTTCAGCGGCTTTACTGTTTTCCTTGTTGTGCAAAGAAGTCCAGTCTTCGTCTAGCCGCGTTTGAGAACAATAATACGAAAAGAACTTCAAATGAACTTTATTGACTTAAGACTTAGGGAGATTGACACAAGTCAGTCCATCTATCATCATTCCATCATGCAGGAGGAGCCACATGTCTATGGTGCATCCAACAAAATAAGCAGACTCTTGGATGTCACTACTGCCCGGCTCCGGCTGGGTTACAAGTATCTTTGGCAGGTTAAATCACCACCACCAGATGTAGACCAAACGAAATGTAAACTTTGCCAGATGGATTATTGTCACACCTTGCGTCATTATGTACTGGAGTGTGATAAAATTAATGAATTTAGAAACAACTCACTCAGAAGTGTTCAAGAAAATGGCTAAGATTTATCCACAGTGGTATATTGCAGACCATTCTAGAGAAATACCCTGACTTTGCTAGCCTGTAAATAAAGAATTACCAACATGTTTTGCATGTGTGCATGTGTGTGATGTGTGTGGTGTAAGGTGGTGAGTGTGTGTATTGAAGATCGTGTGTTTGTGTGTGTGTGAGTGTGTGTGAGGGAATGTGTGTGTTGTTTGTGTGTGTGTTGAGGGTGTGTGTGTGTGAGTGTGCTGGTCGGTGTGTGTGTGTGTGAGTGTGTGTGTGTGTGTTGTGTGTGTGTGTGTGTGTTGTGTGTGTGTGTGTGTGTGTGTGTGTGTGCGTGTGTGTGGGTGGTGTGTGAGGGTGTGGTGGCGGGTGTGTGTGAGGGGTGTGTGTGAGGGTTGTGTGTGTGTGTGTGTGCGTTGTGTGCGTGCGTGTGTGTGTGGTGTGTGAGTGTGTGCGTGTGTGGGTGTGTGATGTGCGTGTGTGGGTTGAGGTGTGTGTGTGTGGGTTGTGGGTGTGTGTGTGTGGGTTGTGTGTGTGGGATGTGTGTGTTTGGGATGTGTGTGAGGGTGGTGTGTGGGTGTGTGGGTGAGGGTGTGTGTTGTTGTGGGTGTTGGTGTGTGGTGTGTGTGTGGGTTGAGTGTTGGGGGATTGTGCGTCCCATTGTGTGCTAAGCATATTTTGTACGCTCGTGTGCACAATGATATCCTCGTATTAGCGTGCGCCCTCGTTGTGTATGTGCGCTCGCAGCGTAGTGTGGGTTGTATGATCCCTTAATATTTGTATTATAAACTCATTACAAGTGTGACCAGGTGTGGGAACGTATCAGTGGTTCATTTACTTTTGTAAATTTGTCATGGGACTGTAACATGTATAGGCGTGAGCAGTTCATTACCTCTGTAAACTTGCATGATTAGTGACCAGATCTTACTGGATTCCATTACCTTTGTAATTGTTCCAGCTTTAATAAACGTTTGGGGTTCAGTACTGGACCCATTATGTACCTTTGTTTCTTTTGACTTCCGCCCACAGGATGGGTATGGGGTGCATAAAGATATTAAACTAAAGTGTGTGTGTGTGTGTGTGTGTTGTGTGTGTGTGTGTGTGTGTGTGTGTGTGTGTGTTGTGTGGTTGTGTGATCAACAATCAATATTTGCACCAATAAATCTTACAGTTGGGACCGGAGTGTGGAAGTGTGAATTGTCATTACTCTATAATTTTGTTCATGATTGTAGCCAAAGTATAAACGGAAGTAACCATTCTACCAGAATTATTACCTTGTAAAACTTGTGAGCTCATAACCTTTGTACAAGTTCAGCTATCAAAACTTTGGTGGGGGCCCAGTCCCTGGACCATACGTACCTCTGTATCTGTAAATAACCTTTGTAACTTGACTTGATTGTGACCAGACTTACTGGAGATATTACTTTGTACATTGTGAGTTCATTACCTTTGTAAATTGAGAGTTCATTACCTTTGTAAATTGTGAGTTCTTTGCTCTGTATTGTATCAGCTATCAAAAACTTTGGAGTCCAGTCCCTGGGGACCAATTATGTAACCTCTGTATCTTTTGACTACCGCCCACAGGATGGGTATATGGGTGTGCATAATAAACATATTAAACTAACTACGTCTAGCGCTCTCCCTCTCTCTCTCTATGTTTTCCCTGATTCACTGTTCTTGCGGATCTTGCGACGTATGACATCTTGCTACCTTGTATTTAGACGGAGAACTTGTGATCTTGGGACGGTCTGACATTCTTGCGATCTTCGACCGTGTGACATTCTTAAATTGCTCTCTAGTGTGGATTCCTGGAGGTTATTCCGGGGATCAAACGCCCCGCGGCCGGTCCTGACCAGGCCCTACCGGTGGATCAGGGGCCTGATCAACTAGGCCTGTTACTGCTGGCCGCGCGCAGTCCACATACGAGCCACCAGACCGGCCTGATCGGCACTGACTTTAGGTATCTGTCCAGCTCTCTCTGGAAGGCAGCCAGGGGTTATTGGCCATACCCCTAATGACTTGATAGGGAGGCTGTTGAAAACAGTCTTGGGCCGGACATTACGTTGTTTTCCCTTAGTGACAATGGCGCCCTACTTTTTAATTGGGGGCATTTTTGCAATCGCCTGCCAGTCTTTTACTTTCGTAGGGAGTGATTTCTGTGTGAGATTTGGGTACCATTCCTTCCAAGAATTTTCCAAGTGTAGATTTTGATTATTTCTCCTCACTGCGTTTCCAACGAGTACATCGTCAAGTGCTTCCAAGCGTTCCCAGTAGTTAAGGTGCGTGACAGAACTTATACGTGCAGTCAAAGGCTCTCTGTTACACTCTTAGATCGGCAATTTCCCCTCCTACCTCACGCCCTTCCTCTCTGTCTTCTCACATCCTCCTCTAGTATCAAGTAACCTCCTAGCATTAAGGAAACCTCGCAAAAACTTCAATTAACTCAAAGAATCAAAGGAACATCCCAGCATCAATTAACCTCACCAGCTCAGAACCTCATCAGATCAAGGAATCCTCCAGTAAGAAAGGGGACTTCTCTTGTTGGGAGACATCAATTAATAAGAGAGGGAGGTTTAAGATGATATGTAGGAAAAAGAGAGTCGTGCATCATGTGTGAGCATCACACGTGAGTTTAAGATGGTCCCTTATACTGCCAACCAAGTGAAGCGGATGGGGGAGGGAAGAAGTACAAATGAGGGTAGAGGTGGAGGAGGAAGAGGCACCAAGTCATGGGGTAGGGGAGGGGAGGAGGCACCACAGTGAGGGGGGAGGGAAGAGGCACTAGCGAGGGTAGGGGAGGGGAAGAGGCACTAGTAGAGGGTAGGGGAGGGGAAGGAAGAGGGGGAATGAGGGAGGGCGTCTGAAGATAAGATACGATTTCGTTTGGATTTTATTTTTAACCCCGGGAGGGTTAGCCACCCAGGATAACCCAGAAAGTCAGTGCGTCATCGAGGACTGTCTACCTTATTTCCTTGCGGTCCTTAAATATTGTCCCCAGGATGCGACCCACACAGTCGACAACACCCAGGTACTTATTTGGCTGCTAGGTGAACGGGACAACAGGTGTAAGGAAAACGGAAACGTAGTCGAACTGTTTCCACCCGCCGGGAATCGAACCCGGGCCCTCCGGTGTTGAAGCGGGAGATTTAGCCACCAGGACACCGGCTCTGGATTGACGCTAACAACGTACTTTCAATTTCTAAAACGGTAATTACAGGAGGAATTTTGTTGCTTCGTTTATTCCTCTGTATGTCTGTATACTTTGCTACAGTATTTCATGTCAGGGATATTATTATAATTAAATGTTTTAATGTGATAGTATCAGTATAATTATGCAGTGAGTTGGTAAAGTGTACAGTAGTTAACACTCAATAAAACACGATCACATGCACCGAGTGGTGTACATCTCTCAGGGGATTACTCAGGTTAGAGCACATGCACTCTCTGAGCACCAGTGGTTTAGATTGTAGTGGCTACAGGGAAGTTAACCCCCGTGGCTAATAGTAGACCCAGGTCTCCTTGTCTGCGAGATTACCGGGGGTCACTCCCTGGGGATGGGTCCTCGTCTAGGGCTCCTGTTGCTGGACTACCGGGGGTCACTCACTGCCCCAGGGAGGTGGGTGCTAGACAGACCCTCCTTGGTTGCTGGACTACCGAGGGTATGCCTAGGGTGGGTCTTAGAGAGGCCTCATGGTTGCTGGACTACCGAGGGTCACTGCCCTTGGGGCTAGGTCCTAGACCAGGCCTCCTGGTTGCTGGATTACCGGGGGTCACTGCCTCTGGGGGATGGGTCCTAGACCAGGCCTCCTGACTGCTGAACTACCGAGGGTCACTGCCCCTAGACCAGGCATCCTGGTTGCTGGACTACCCTCGGTAGTCCAGCAACCAGGACGTCCTCTCTGGTTGTAGTTCAGGACCCTTCTATAATGCTGTCCTCTCTGGTTGTAAGTCCAGCACCCTTCTATAATGTTCTCCTTTCTGTGGTTGTTAGTCCAGGACCCTTCTATAATGTCCTCTCTGGTTGTTAGTCCAGGACCTTTCTATAATATTGTCCTCTCTGTGGTTGTTAGTCCGGGAACCTTCTACAATGTTGTCCTAAGCCCACGTTCCTTCTACATACCACACTCCCTCAATCCATCCCTTCGTCCATTCAATCTCATTTTCCCTACACCCTTCCACTGCTCTGTTCTTCATGCCTCTGAAGAGCCAGACACGTATAATCAAGACTTACATTAGGGCGCAGGTGACGAATACAATGCCGATGTAGATACACTGAGGTATGAGGGAGAGCATCATGGTGAGGCCGATGATGGTGATGCCAGCAGCAATGATCTTGTTGGTCCTGCGTTGCCACACAGCCGTGGGCACAGAAGCTTGGTACATCCTGGTGGTCGTGGTGCAGGGGTAGGTATACCTCCTGGTTGCCTGGTACACGGACACCCGAGGCGGCGCCCTCTCAAGAATGACGTTCCTTTGCCTTCTCCTGCTGGACAAGAACAATACTTTATTACATTATATAATTATAAAGGTCAACACACTGTGAAGCAGTATCATTCACCAAGATCAACAAGTAAAAAATCGAAAAATAATCACCAAAAACCGCTAAACTCTAGATAATTTTACTGAATCTGAAACCATGTAAGTGTTCCAATCAAGTGTTGAGAAGACTGGTTTTGTGTACATCAGTGTTGAGAAGACTGGTCTTGTGTACACAGTGTTGAGAAGACTGGTCTTGTGTACATCAGTGTTGAGAAGACTGGTCTTGTGTACACCAGTGTTGAGAAGACTGGTCTTGTGTACACAGTGTTGAGAAGACTGGTCTTGTGTACACCAGTGTTGAGAAGACTGATCTTGTGTACATCAGTGTTGAGAAGACTGGTCTTGTGTACATCAGGTGGTTGAGAAGACTGGTCTTGTGTACACAGTGTTTGAGAAGACTGGTTTGTGTACACCAGTGTTGAGAAGACTGATCTTGTGTACACCAGTGTTGAGAAGACTGATCTTGTGTACATCAGTGTTGAGAAGACTGGTCTTGTGTACACAGTGTTGAGAAGACTGGTCTTGTGTACACCAGTGTTGAGAAGACTGATCTTGTGTACATCAGTGTTGAGAAGACTGGTCTTGTGTACATCAGTGTTGAGAAGACTGGTCTTGTGTACACAGTGTTGAGAAGACTGGTCTTGTGCACACAGTGTTGAGAAGACTGGTCTTGTGTACACCAGTGTTGAGAAGACTGGTCTTGTGTACACCAGTGTTGAGAAAACTGGTCTTGTGTACACCAGTGTTGAGAAGACTGGTCTTGTGCACACAGTGTTGAGAAGACTGGTCTTGTGCACACAGTGTAGAGAAGACTGGTCTTGTGCACACAGTGTTGAGAAGACTGGTCTTGTATACATCAGTGTTGAGAAGACTGGTCTTGAGTACACCTGTGTTGAGAAGACTGGGCTTGTGCACACAGTGTTGAGAAGACTGGTCTTGTGCACACAGTGTTGAGAAGACTGGTCTTGTGCACACAGTGTTGAGAAGACTGGTCTTGTGCACACAGTGTTGAGAAGACTGGTCTTGTGCACACAGTGTTGAGAAGACTGGTCTTGTATACATCAGTGTTGAGAAGACTGGTCTTGTGTACATCAGTGTTGAGAAGACTGGTCTTGTGTACATCAGTGTTGAGAAGACTGGTCTTGTGTACATCAGTGTTGAGAAGACTGGTCTTGTGTACACAGTGTTGAGAAGACTGGTCTTGTGTACATCAGTGTTGAGAAGACTGGTCTTGTGCACACAGTGTTGAGAAGACTGATCTTGTGTACACAGTGTTGAGAAGACTGGTCTTGTGTACACAGTGTTGAGAAGACTGGTCTTGTGTACACAGTGTTGAGAAGACTGGTCTTGTGTACACAGTGTTGAGAAGACTGGTCTTGTGCACACAGTGTTGAGAAGACTGATCTTGTGTACACCAGTGTTGAGAAGACTGGTCTTGTGCACAAAGTGTTGAGAAGACTGGTCTTGTGCACAAAGTGTTGAGAAGACTGGTCTTGTGCACACAGTGTTGAGAAGACTGGTCTTGTGCACACAGTGTTGAGAAGACTGGTCTTGTGCACACAGTGTTGAGAAGACTGGTCTTGTGTACACAGTGTTAAGAAGACTGGTCTTGTGTACACCAGTGTTGAGAAGACTGGTCTTGTGTACACCAGTGTTGAGAAGACTGGTCTTGTGCACAAAGTGTTGAGAGAAGACTGGTTCTTGTGCACAAAGTGTTGAGAAGACTGGTCTTGTGCACACAGTGTTGAGAAGACTGGTCTTGTGCACACAGTGTTGAGAAGACTGGTCTTGTGCACACAGTGTTGAGAAGACTGGTCTTGTGTACACAGTGTTAAGAAGACTGGTCTTGTGTACACCAGTGTTGAGAAGACTGGTCTTGTGCACACAGTGTTAAGAAGACTGGTCTTGTGTACACCAGTGTTGAGAAAACTGGTCTTGTGCACACAGTGTTGAGAAGACTGGTCTTGTTGCACACATGTGTTGGAAAGACTGGTCTTGTGCACACAGTGTTAAGAACACTGGTCTTGTGTACATCAGTGTTGAGAAGACTGGTCTTGTGCACACAGTGTTAAGAACACTGGTCTTGTGTACATCAGTGTTGAGAAGACTGGTCTTGTGTACACCAGTGTTGAGAAGACTGGTCTTGTGTACACCAGTGTTGAGAAGACTGGTCTTGTGCACACAGTGTTGAGAAGACTGGTCTTGTGTACACCAGTGTTGAGAAGACTGGTCTTGTGCACACAGTGTTGAGAAGACTGGTCTTGTGTACATCAGTGTTGAGAAGACTGGTCTTGTGTACACCAGTGTTGAGAAGACTGGTCTTGTGTACACAGTGTTGAGAAGACTGGTCTTGTGTACACCAGTGTTGAGAAGACTGGTCTTGTGTACACAGTGTTGAGAAGACTGGTCTTGTGTACATCAGTGTTGAGAAGACTGGTCTTGTGTACACAGTGTTGAGAAGACTGGTCTTGTGTACACCAGTGTTGAGAAGACTGGTCTTGTGTACACAGTGTTGAGAAGACTGGTCTTGTGTACACAGTGTTGAGAAGACTGGTCTTGTGTACACAGTGTTGAGAAGACTGGTCTTGTGTACACCAGTGTTGAGAAGACTGGTCTTGTGTACACCAGTGTTGAGAAGACTGGTCTTGTGTACACCAGTGTTGAGAAGACTGGTCTTGTGTACACCAGTGTTGAGAAGACTGGTCTTGTGTACACAGTGTTGAGAAGACTGGTCTTGTGTACATCAGTGTTGAGAAGACTGGTCTTGTGTACACAGTGTTGAGAAGACTGGTCTTGTGCACACAGTGTTGAGAAGACTGGTCTTGTGCACACAGTGTTGAGAAGACTGGTCTTGTGTACATCAGTGTTGAGAAGACTGATCTTGTGTACACCAGTGTTGAGAAGACTGGTCTTGTGTACATCAGTGTTGAGAAGACTGGTCTTGTGTACACAGTGTTGAGAAGACTGATCTTGTGTACACCAGTGTTGAGAAGACTGGTCTTGTGCACACAGTGTTGAGAAGACTGGTCTTGTGTACATCAGTGTTGAGAAGACTGGTCTTGTGTACATCAGTGTTGAGAAGACTGGTCTTGTGTACACAGTGTTGAGAAGACTGGTCTTGTGTACATCAGTGTTGAGAAGACTGGTCTTGTGCACACAGTGTTGAGAAGACTGATCTTGTGTACACCAGTGTTGAGAAGACTGGTCTTGTGTACATCAGTGTTGAGAAGACTGGTCTTGTGTACACAGTGTTGAGAAGACTGGTCTTGTGTACACAGTGTTGAGAAGACTGATCTTGTGTACATCAGTGTTGAGAAGACTGGTCTTGTGCACACAGTGTTGAGAAGACTGATCTTGTGTACACCAGTGTTGAGAAGACTGGTCTTGTGTACAACAGTGTTGAGAAGACTGGTCTTGTGTACACAGTGTTGAGAAGACTGGTCTTGTGTACACAGTGTTGAGAAGACTGGTCTTGTGTACACAGTGTTGAGAAGACTGGTCTTGTGTACATCAGTGTTGAGAAGACTGGTCTTGTGTACATCAGTGTTGAGAAGACTGGTCTTGTGTACATCAGTGTTGAGAAGACTGGTCTTGTGTACACAGTGTTGAGAAGACTGGTCTTGTGTACATCAGTGTTGAGAAGACTGGTCTTGTGTACATCAGTGTTGAGAAGACTGGTCTTGTGTACACAGTGTTGAGAAGACTGGTCTTGTGTACACAGTGTTGAGAGACTGGTTATGTGTACATCAGTGTTGAGAAGACTGGTCTTGTGTACATCAGTGTTGAGAAGACTGGTCTTGTGTACACAGTGTTGAGAAGACTGGTTTGTGTACATCAGTGTTGAGAAGACTGGTCTTGTGTACACAGTGTTGAGAAGACTGGTCTTGTGTACACAGTGTTGAGAAGACTGGTCTTGTGTACACAGTGTTGAGAAGACTGGTCTTGTGTACACCAGTGTTGAGAAGACTGGTCTTGTGTACACAGTGTTGAGAAGACTGGTCTTGTGCACACAGTGTTAAGAAGACTGGTCTTGTGTACACTAGTGTTGAGAAGACTGGTCTTGTGCACACAGTGTTAAGAAGACTGGTCTTGTGCACACAGTGTTAAGAAGACTGGTCTTGTGCACACAGTGTTAAGAAGACTGGTCTTCTGTACACCAGTGTTGAGAAGACTGGTCTTGTGTACATCAGTGTTGAGAAGACTGGTCTTGTGCACATCAGTGTTGAGAAGACTGGTCTTGTGCACACAGTGTTAAGAAGACTGGTCTTGTGCACAGTGTTAAGAAGACTGGTCTTGTGCACACAGTGTTAAGAAGACTGGTCTTGTGCACACAGTGTTGAGAAGACTGGTCTTGTGCACACAGTGTTAAGAAGACTGGACTTGTGCACACAGTGTTGAGAAGACTGGTCTTGTGCACACAGTGTTGAGGAGACTGGTCTTGTGTACATCAGTGTTGAGAAGACTGGTCTTGTGCACACAGTGTTGAGAAGACTGGTCTTGTGCACACAGTGTTGAGAACACTGGTCTTGTGTACATCAGTATTGAGAAGACTGGTCTTGTGCACACAGTGTTGAGAAGACTGGTCTTGTACACACAGTGTTGAGAAGACTGGTCTTGTGCACACAGTGTTGAGGGGACTGGTCTTGTGCACACAGTGTTGAGGGGACTGGTCTTGTGCACACAGCGTTGAAGAGACTGGTCTTGTGCACATAGTGTTGAGAAGACTGGTCTTGTGCACACAGTGTTGATGAGACTGGTCTTGTGCACACAGTGTTGAAGAGACTGGTCTTGTGCACACAGTGTTGAGGAGAGAGGTCGTGTATATACCATAATGTGAAACACAAGTCTTAAAATCAATCTCATATTACATTTTGCGAACTTGAAATTAGCATATGGAGAGGCTCCACACATACAAGGTGTGGAGAGGCTCCAAACATACAAGGT